TTGAGAAAAGAGATCTTTTTTTTCACTCTAAAAATTATGGTAAAATATATGTAACCTTAAGTTTATCATGTTAACTAATTTTAAATGTACATTTCCATGTACATTCACATTGTATCCATCTCCAGAACTTTTTGTTTCCCCCAAACTGAAACTGTAGCCATTGAACACTGATTGTCCATCCCCTGCCCCTCCCAGTCCCCAGTACCCACCATCTACTTTCTGTCTCTATGAATCTGACTGCTCTGGTTGCCTCATATAAGTAGAATCCTACAGTTTCAGTCCTTTTGTGACTGGCTTATTTCACTGAGTAAAATGTCCTCAAGTCTCATCTGTGTTGTAACACATGACATGATTTCCTTACCTTTTTAAGGCTGAATGTTCCATTGTAAATAGAGACCATATTTTGTTTATTCCTTCATCCATCAATGGACGTTTGGGTTGTTTCCACCTTTAACCATTATGACCAAAAAGTAGGGAAAATGGGAAAAGTCATGCTTTCTTGAGTTATTGTGATTTTAAATTGCCCTAAACCTATATTTTTGGTCCGGAAAAGTAGGTACACAATAAATAAGGAGCCTGAAAAATTTGAATGGAGTACGTTAGGTGGTTCCCACTCACCCCCAACAGCAGAAGCAAACCCAAGTAACACTGACTCTTTAAAGAGTTGTTGTGTTAATAATGAGATGATGATTTAAAATACTTTTTAAACTAAGTAATCCCCCTACCGGTGAGTAATGACTAAGAAATCATTGTACTGTGGTGTTTGCTGGTCTAGGTGGCGAGATTCCAAAATCCAGGTGACAGACTTAAACCAGAGGAGAAACCTACCTAAGAACCTTGTGACAAGCCACTCACTATAGCCATGGGATTGTAGGAGTTTGCTGATATTGCTCACATACCACTTATGAGAGGAAGTAGTGTAGGTTTATGTGTGTTTTTGTTTTTCATTTTCGTGTTTACCATAATAAAGCAACAATGGCTAGACGGCTACAAATTGGAAATACAAGCTCCAGAGCAATGGAAACGGTGAGGATTTCCAGAGAGGGGCTGTGTCTGTGCAGGTGCAGGAGGTCCTAAGGAGGTTGGTGCTGGCTGGGCCCTGCCATCCTGAGGGAGCCCCAGGGACCTGGAAGGAGGCAGCGCCCTGCAGTGACCCTTCATGACAGCAGGTGGCAGCAGCCAGTGGCTCAACATCATTGTGGGTTCTGGTCTGGACTCTGGGCTTGTGATGAAAACTTGGGAACTAGTTGCAGTTAACTGCATTTAACCTCAAAACCCCAACTCATACCATGTTGGCAAATGCAGGGTGCTCCAAGGCAATCCTTGCTGATGTTCCATCGTCAGCGTTTTTATTAACTTCAGTGACTGTATAGGAGGCAGGCTATTTAAACTGACAGGCAACGTAAAGTGGGAAGGAATTGCTAATGGACTGGATATGGGGCACAGAAAGATCTGGGTGGGCCAGAGGGATGAGCCCAGTGAAATTCAACAGGGAAATGTAAAGCCCTGAATTAGGTTGGAAAATGTCATGGGACGTGCAGGACAAAGGGAAAAAGTCTGGCTTAATGGAGAGACAGGCAGGGTGATCACTCGGTGAAAACCGGAGACGATGCAGCTGCTCACTAACGAGGAGATGGTTACATGTACATCTGTTAAAAAGAGCAAGTCAGAGCTATCCACACTGACTGGAAAGATCTCCAAGGCATATGACTAAATGGGAAACACCAGAGGAAAATATGTGAGGATGCAAACCATCATGGTTCTGTGTGAGTGTGCATGTGTGTGAGTACCTGTGATGGCACAGAAAGGACTGGAAGGATACACACCAGGACGTTCGTGCTGACACTTCAGAGCAGGGCTGAGGAATGGGACTCCCACTGTTGACTTTATATGCTTCTGTATTTACTTTAGTGCAAATGTGTTTCTATATCAATTCTATTATTACATACTCACATTGGTGGCCTTTTAATTGAAAATGAGGAAAGGTGATGAGGATAACAAAAAACTAACTCAAGCTCAGACCACATTAATACTAATGCTGTGTCAGAAGTAGAATCTTTTCTCAGTTCAAGCTTCTCAGTGGAAAATAGAGGTACTCCAGTCCCCCAGAAAGCACAACAGGTGCTGGACATTGCAACACAGCTATCATGATTCCATCTGTACTGCCTGCCCCTTTGACTTCATCCCTCTTGCTGTCTCCTTGATTCTGGTGTCCAACCCTTCTCTCTCACTGGACAACTTTCCCTAAGACACTGTCCTACTCCTCTGTTTCCTTCAGGTCCCTCGGCAGAGAGGCCCTCCTTGAGCACCCAGTACTAAATAGCAATTTTCATTGCCCCTGGCAAGTTCTAGTCTTCTGCTGGTTTTTCTCAATTGCACATCTGTGGTATATATAACCTTCAGGGATGCAGGTATAGTCTACCTCCTTCAACATGAAGACAAAGATTTTGCTTTGTCACAGTCCTGGTGCCTAATAGTGGCTGGCACTCAGTAGACATTGGCTGAGTAAATGAGTAATTAGAGCTGTACAGGAATGGAGTGAACAGCATCTCATGATTGGGGCAACCTCCTTAGCTCCATCAGCGGTGAGAAGATGGGGACTCTCTATGGTGCTGGCTACAAGCAGCAGGAACAAAGTGCACTAGGGGAATTCTAGAAGTTCAATCTACATGCTTTGTGTGATGGGAACATCTGCAATTGGCCTTTGAGCATGACATTCTGTGCCCGAGCTCACCTCCCTGGTCCATGCCAGGAGTCGTCCTATCTAGAGGGTTGCAGGAAAAAGCATTTGATGCCATGAATGGAAGGTATTTGGAGACCTGAATTAGGTGAACCAAAGCTTTCTGTAGTACACTGTTGGTTTTTCTGTAATTGCAGGGTGACATAGCTGTCATCACCGGAGATTTTTGTGCTGTTACATGGGTGCTCAGCCATTCCTCTCCCATCTGTGTAGCTAGTCTCTGTTCCCCCATATTGTACTTATTTCAGGCTTGGTATAAGTGCGCATTTTTTTCAAGCTCCCAGTTTATCAAGTTTTGCTTGAGTCATTCCTATGTAAAACGCCATCCATTATCTTTCCAGCTTGGGATCTATCAAATGGAAAATAGATGACAATCATTTCTCACTTAGCAATTTGCTGGGTAGAGGGTTTTTGCATAAAGTATCTTATCTGACTGCATTAGCCTTGGGATGTATTCAGTATAGAAATTGAAGTCTGGAGAAATGAAGGAGTTGCTGTCTACCTACTGCAGACCCCTTTGCATGTTGCCTGCTGCTCTGCATTGACTGGTAGGTCAGTGATAGCAAATACTGGCAATGCAACACAAGTCCAGGCTGGAGAATTCATTTGTCCTCCTGAGTAGCCCCTGATCCACTCATAACAATTGTGATCCACATTTGGACAGTAGCACATGAACAGAAGAGTTGTTTGAGGCCACGATTCCTAGTTTATTAATACTCCTGTACAAGACAGAAGTAGCAGTGGGGCCTTCCCCAAGTCCTAAACTTGCAGTACGCAGCCAGCGCTAGAGGCATGGAGGGTGAGTCTGCTTGGGGCCCTGGGCTCGACACGGCTGACCCCACACAACCCTTCAGGAGAATCTTTAAAAACAAGCGAGAGAGCCTTTTCATTTTAAATTAATGATTTGAAATATGTATTCAGGATTACCATTTTCAGAGTTCAAGCTCTAATTTTTAGGTCTGTGGCCAGATCTCTCTTTACATCCTTAAAAGTGGTCAGAAGCCATCTGTAATTATTTGACTCAGTCCTTTAGGACCTTGAGAGTCATAATCTTCATCGCTTGTAAGAGTGAACATACCCACTTACAAACCACATGCTGCTTTTAACAGGCCGTGTGCAGAGTATGTTGAAAGGCAGGAACTAGTTCTTACCACTCTTCTATCACATGGATGAAAGTTGGCTGGTTTGGGTCCTTTTACATTCATTTAAAAAGCGTGTGATTTTCCATAAAAGTGTTCGTAATTATCGATGTATAAAATGCCTTGAAGGCCTTGTACCCGGGACAGGGCTGGTGCTGCTGTCTCAGGGAAGGTGCCTGTGGGACACCCACATGGGGACAGCTGACCCACCCGGTTTATTTCCCATGGGAGCAGGCACCAAGGAATAAAAAGTAGTTTCTAAGACCCACTTCGATTACATACAAATACACAGAAAGACAATCCCGAAGACAATTCTACAGAAAAGATACCTTGTAGGATTTTTCTCATGTCTTAGCCAACCTTCACCATGAAGATCACTTTAAACTGTCAATTTTCATGATTCTAGGAGCAACATTGGTCATATGAACCCAGCCCAGCATCTTCCAAGCTACAAACCCCATTTGCGCAACACACTGTGCGTGTGTTTGTCAAAAACCTGTTGGGGTCAGCATGGGGTTCAGCACAAATCTTTTTTTCCTCCCTCCCTGGTAACAGAAACTTACCTGTAACTGGGTAGAAGAATCAAGGATGGTGAACAGATATCCTGGGAACTTATCTCTTTGGTGTTATGATGCTTAAAATATTAAACTCCTTATATAAAATTGGCTATAGATGACATTAAAACTTGGTCTTCTATTAAAAACTGTAATACATTTAAAATAATTATTACATGAATTTATATTTTAATATTTTGAATGACATTTGAAACGTTACAAAATTATTTTAGTTACAAGCATGTAATTAAAGCTGTTGTTTACTATTACAAAATGTTTTTTTACAATGCTATTCTTGGCAAAAGGAAAGTGTTTACCCTTATTAAAGAATGCTGAGTGCCATTTTTTGAAAACCATGTCAAACATTATGATAATGATATTAAGATTCAATGGATCCTGTGGAACTACTTAATATTTATCTAAACCAGTGTCTATTTTTTTAAAGTCTATTACTTCTATTTTCACTTAAAAATAAGAAGCTGAAGAGGAAAGCAAACGTTTGAAGCACATGAAACTTATTTTTTAATCACTAGAATTTAGAGTTCAGTCTTTCCATCTGTTCTTTAAAAAAATAGTAACTACCACCCATTTTGTTTCATACGTGGCAACAAAATAGTCCCAAGCAACTTCTTCCAGTTGGTGTTCCACCCTTTACCAGTCGTGGAGAAGGCACGCATTGGCAGGGAGACAGGGGGTCTGGAGCCAGCCTGTAGTCGGTGGCAGCTGCTGATACATTATCTGTATTTCTCCTGCAAAATTACATCCAAAGTTGTGAAATGAGGCCATTGGCTGTCAAGCCCGCACTGAGAATGTCCAGTTGGCTTCCCATGAGAGGCCGCAATGCTTTTGTGGACTACACAGCACAGTTAATGTAGTGGCCCTAAAAATTCTTCAAAACCAAGAGCCCACATTTTCAACTCAATGACAGTACCTAATTACACAGCATTTACATATCACTATCTGAGCCTTTGAAATAGTAGTAATATACAATGGCTTTCAGAATGTCTTATAGATCGAAAGAACATATTTCCCAGTGTTCATTTAACAAAAAGTTTGATGGAGTTTGAAGTATTAGGTAACCTTGTCCATGGTTACGAGAATTCCCAAAGTGAATAAAAGAACCAAGATTCTCTAGGCTTACCTTTAATTCAGGTGGAAATGGCAAAAGGAACGTCCCTCAGGGGAACAGCCAACCTTTCTCAGAGTCCTCTTTAGGACCCAGCATTTCTCTCCTTTCCTCAAAGAAATAGAAACAAAGGGCAATATCCTTTGCCAAAGTAATTTCCCTTTCTTCAAAATGTGAAATTACTTTGCACCAATAACCCTACCAGCACAGCGTTTTATTGGAACTAATTTGAGTAAAAATCAATTTTGGCATAGGATCAAGCATTTGTTTTTTAGCTTTAAAAGAGAAGAGTGCCATCAGAAGCATTTAGAGTTTCACCTGAGAGCTACAGGAATTTCAAATGGTTGTGTTTAATATGAAAATCTTGACCCTGGGGAGATAATGGTGACTTGGCCTTGACAACTAAGAACAGGTTGCCTCATCCTTTTCCTTCCATCTTTTACCTAGTAGCTGGGTAATGTGTTAAACTGGTTTTTTTGACTTTCCAGAAAAATATCTGATTAGCAAATAACACAATTCAGTGACATTTAACAGTATGCAAATTCCAGACACTGCAATCATGAACACTGTGAAGACAGTCTTTTCTGTGGGCCTGGAAACAAAGCAGTCCACTGTATTGGGACAAGGCCAGGCATTACATTTCACCAGACGCTGCATGGAGAACCCATCATACATGATGTAGAAGACATACATGAAGACAGCTTCGAAGACAACCCGGAAGAAGATGCTGCTGGTATAGGTCCACCATAACGACCCTTCAATTCGGACCTTCTGGCTTTTGATCTCTTCGATGTCTTTAAATTCACTCTTTATCTCTCCCTTAATGAACTTCCTTTTCTTCTCATGTCTGCGATAGGCCACATGCATGGCCACCAAGAGAGCTGGTGTGGACACAAAGATCAGCTGAAGGGCCCAGAGCCGGATGTGAGAGATAGGGAAGTAGTGATCATAGCACACATTTTTGCACCCAGGCTGCAGAGTGTTGCAGATAAAGTCAGCCTGCTCATCTCCCCACACTTCCTTTGCAGCTACTACCAGGATCATGATGCGAAAAATGAAGAGGACGGTGAGCCAGATTTTTCCAATGCTGGTGGAGTGTTTATTGACACCCCCCAGAATAGTCTGCAAAGTGCTCCAATCCATCCTCTCTGGGTTGTTCGCACTGGAAGAGACAAAATGAACACAGTAGAGGAGTGACTCATCAGGACAGAATCTGAGAAACTTCTCTGGGTCTTAGGCAAGTAAGCACCCTTAAATCTCTTCCTGAACAAACACCAACTCTTATGATGCCTCACCCAAAAGGTGAAAACCAAACCAACTTAGTTTGTCATAGGGGTAAAAGGATAGTTGCCAAACCACTTGAACTATGTTTTCCCAATAAAGAGTAGCTTATTCCCTTGAGAAATTCACCCAGTCCTTTTTTTAAAAATCCTCACCCAAGGATATGTTATTGATTTGAGAGAGAGAAAAAAAACCCATCAATATGAGGAAGAAACATCAATTAGTTGCCTCCTATGCGTGCCCTGACCTGGGATTGAATCTGCAACCTTTTGGTGCAGGGGACCAAGTTCCAACCGAGCTACACAGCCAGAGCCCAAATCTTTAGCTCATAATAAAAATTGGTTGGGGGGGGCAGTGCCACAAACAAAAGTGCTCCTAACTTAAAGGCATAATTAGTGCTAATCGACCCCTGCAGACACTCCCTGGCACCTGGACAAGTGGCATTCAGTCGTTAAAGCTGCACTTGCTTTTTAGCTGTACTGACTGAGACTAGCCTGGCCACCTTGCTGTAAGGTCCAGCAGGCCATGCCTCCCTGCAGAACCATTTTTCTGAAACTATTTCAATGAACCGTTATGGACTTGGGATGTAGCTGTGAAATGTTACCAACATTAAAGTTGACATTTGAGACACTGCATGTTAAAATTTCACAAAGGGCCTCACTCCCTTTTTCTACACTAAAAGGAACAAGTTGTAAACTTTCCATCTGTAGAGAAAAGCCACTGTATTCACAGATTTTTGTGAATGTTTTATATATGGACTGGTGGTCCCCACTGTCATGCTGAACTGATGGCTATCTGTTTTAATACAGTGTTGCCGCTGCACATTTTTATTGTGGGCTATGGTTTAAGTGTTTCTAAGGAGGCACATTATGAAAAAATGACAGAAATTTTAACTCAGTGATTCCCAATGACACTGCAGAAGGTGATATCACTGTGTTGAATACTGAAGCTCAGGATTAAAGCTCACTTGGGTTAAGGTACATCTTGCTGTGGATCTATCTGCCATGAGCCAGCAGCCTTCTCTTCATCTCAGGAGACAGGATACGAACTGTCTCCAGTCCTTCATAGTTATGTCCCATCTTCTCAATCAGCCCCTCTTCGAGACAAGATTCCACTTCCCCACAATCCTGATGAGCAGTCTGTTTTCCATCTCCTCTATGCTGGCAGTGAACCCATCTTCTCTTACTTAAAAGCACAATGCTCTCCTCATTTTGAGCAACTGGGTCCTGTTTCCCCCTCCCCCCATGGACTAAGCAGACTCATCACTGAACATCATCTCAGGTGGGAACACCAAGGTCTGGCTGATGCCATTCAGTGTCACCGTGGCCAGTCATGGACACCAAAGTTGTGTAAACTTGAAAGGTACTTCAGAAACATTTAGCTTTACTTAGCTTGAAAAAGACAAACATCACTGGAAAAAACAGTGGCTCAGCCCTGACCCTTTGAACAGACTCCCGGGGCATCCTGCTGAATGTTCCACAGTCTAGTCATGCCTGACAGCAGGCCCACAATTCACCGTCTGACCACATTATTTTATGGAATTACAGTTTAGTTCTTCAAGGGCACTAAGTGAGAACGGGACACAGAAATAAGCTGCCCATGGTACATGTGGCTAAAAATTGGGGGATAATTAGGAAGGTTCATGCCTTTGTCCTCTTCCAAAGTACAAAACATGGACCTCACACTTTTATAAACCAATCCAACCACCATCAGCCAAGAAAACTACAGTGGTCCTATATTGTTGTGGCGGCAACTACGTTTGTAGATCCTTTCGGGAAAAGGAGCAAATTAAAACTTAACCCACAAGTGGGACAGGGTAACAGGTCAAGATTGACTAACACAGCAGGATGAAACCAGTGGGGAGCTGCTGTCCCGCCCTGGCCCACACCAGCCTGCCATTGTTTGGAGCTCTGGCAGAGGCAAGTTCTGTTCTTTGGGGGAGGCACAGGTTTCAGAAAAGGCAAAATCGATTCTTACCCTTAACTTCTCAACCCCTTCTTTTTCCCTGGCAGACCTTGGCCAACTGCCTCCACAGAGCACCCCAGGCCTCTCACGGGTGTCTAATTGTGACAATTAGTACCTGAGTTTTTAAAGGACTCAAAGGTCAAGCAGGGAAATGGCTGTCGCCTAACATATGAGACAGAGTCCCAAGTAAATGGTCATACGTGTTCAACTGTCAGAATGCTGGAGGGCCACACACTGATCAGGCTCACGTCCCGTCCTCCAGGAGCAGAAGGGCTTATGCAACCGCCCTAGTGAGCGCTTCTCAGTCATGTGCGACCTTCCAGCTGGAAAACTCCACCTGGAAACAAAAGTTCTCCAATCGCTGAAGAAAAAAAGAAGCGAGGTTTAGGCTACGCTGCCCTGCTCCCAGGGTGGGTGGTCCTGGCTCGAAAAGGTTACTTCCATCAGGCAGGGCTTCTGCTTAGCAAAGGGAACCAGCTTTCTTTCCAGTCAGAGCCTTTGGCCCATTAAACACCTACTGGTGGTGACAGATTAAACTGTCGCTGACGAACGTAATCTACGATCATCAATTGCCAACTGTGATGTGGGCTGCCTGACCCAGGCCCCCTCCTCCCCGGAGGGTGGGTCCCTATCGGTCACTGCACTGATGTCACCAGGTCCCCTCCCTGTAAAAAGTCCCGGCTCCAATTTCGGTCGGCGGGACATTCACTCTCCACAGTTCTCCCTGGACACCTGACTGTCCCCGGAGGTCCGCTGTCGCGACTGCTCGGGACAGGGGCTGTGCGGGGGGCCTCAGTGCGCGTGGGGTCCACTCTGGGGACCCGATCCATGTTCCCACAGCCGGGCAGTGCCAGGTCCCCTCCCCCCCAGGTCTCAGACGCCAGTACCGGGGACCTTGCCCCGACGTCCCAGTGCCCGACGTCCCGGGCCCTCGCTCCTCACCCGGTCCTCCTCTCCCCTTTCCCTCGTTCACGCAGCTCCTGCCGTCTCGGGTCCCCTCTCCGTGCTGTGTCCCCTCCCCCCGCCGGATGCCACAACTCCCGGTGTCCCAAGACGCAGAGAGTCGGGCGACAGCCTCGCCCTGGGCGCCGATGGCGCGGGCTCACCTGCCGGGGAAGGTGGGCTCCGGTGGCTGCGGGAGCGCTCGCGGGCCCGGGTGGTCCGGCCTGGCCGCCTCCGCGCTCCTCCTCGGACGCCTGCGCTCGGTGGAGAGCCGGACACCTGTGCTCTGCGGCACCTGAGGCTCCAGCGGCGCCTTTTAACCGCGCCGCACACCCCGCCTCCTCCCCAAGCTCCGCAGAGAATCCCGGAGGGGGCGGCTCCTCGCTGCCGGGGCCCCCAGCGCTCGGGCTGGACGCGCCGGCCTCCTGTTTCCAGAGGTCGCGCGGATTCCCGCCTCCCCCGAGAGCCTCCTGAGGCCTCGGAGCTCCCAGGACCCCCGGGGTCCCAGGCCGCCCCCCCTGCTCCCCGTCCCAGACCCTCCTCGGGGCCTGTGGGCTCCAGGTTTGGGGGGCGGGGTCAAAGGATAGTTGCTGCCGTTACTGTTGTCTCTCCAGGGCTTCTTTCAGTGCCCACTATCACTGCAGTTAGAGTTCAGCTTTAATTAAAAAAAAATAAAATTACTGGAGCAACAGGAATTCCCAACGGTGTGAAGATTTAAGTTCAGTCCCTGTGTCCTTCCTACTTGTTCCTCCAAATCCCTCCCCTCTTTTCCCCCTTAAATTCCCTTCCCTCTTCCCTCTGGTCACTGTATTTACAATAGCGTAATAAAATACTTAGGGATAAATTTAACAAAATAAACTCAAGACTTGCAAAAAAAAAAAAAGATTTAAGTGCAGGCCACTGAGGATCTGTCCGGCTCCCTGCGCAGTTGGCGGGGCGAGGGTGGCGGAGTCCCTCCCGGGAATCTGGAGACAAAGGGGGGCGAGGAGGCGGCCCCGCCAGAGCTGGCCAGCTCTCTGTTTCTTTCCCCCTAAAACCTCACTGGTGAGCTCAACGTCCACCTCTTTGAACTCCCCATTGTTTCGGTCACTTTCAACAATACATCCAGGTTGGGGGTTGGAGGCAGGCAAGTTGGGGGCGAGCCTGGCTTTGCCCAAGGGCCCTGGACTCGCACTTCTGCCCTCCACGCCCTGCCCGCTTTGTCCTTTCACAGTTGAGAAGTTGCAAGTAGGTAGCTCAGTCTGGGTTTGGGGAGGCCCAGGTTATTAGGAAAGGAAAGAGTGAACGAATGAAGCCTACGACCCTCCTGCCCCTGCACACGCCCCACTAAAGGGGGCTCAGTGCCAGGGCTTCTGGTTGGGTATTTTAACGTGTTGAGACACACGTGACAGAGAGTGAGTATTCACAAAGCAAGAGGATGAAGAACTGAAATTGCAAGAGCAGGCCACCTTGGGGACATCACTCGTGGCTTCAGTAGTGCCCTGTGCCTGCAGGGAGGCGGTTTGCTCTTACGCTGACCTTCACTTGGGTCCCCTTCTGTGTTAACCAAAGATGAGGATGATTCATCCAGACAAGGCAGATCTGGCCCATCGTTGCCCCCAGGAGAATGAGGGTTTTGCCTTTTCCTTGTAAAACTGGCTCTCATCACCACGGGCCAACTTGAGTTGGTCTTGTACTGGAGCACAGGAGCCTCGTCCAGCAGTCAGCACCCCACCTTCCAGGTCTAAGTCTTAGTCTTTACGGGCTTGTCTGTTCCTGAAGAAACAAAGCCCCACAGCTGCCCAGCCCTGCTCTGCCCATCTGAGACAGACGCTGATTCATGTGGTTAGAGAGGGCAGGGATAAGCCAGGTGGGGAGAAGGCACTCTGGCCTGGGCGCACCTCTGGGCGCTGTGAGAGATGGTGTGGGTTGGCTGTGGGGCCCTCCCTTTATTTAGTCATCTGAAATATGGCTGTTCAGGAGTCTGCTACGGTCCTGGTGGGTTAGAGTGAAGGGAGTGTCCAGGCCATATGGGAAGCTAGTTGCTGAAGATGTCTTGCAGATTGTAAGTTGACTCACTTTCTCCATTGACAAATCTCACCTTAGGTTTTAGTGTCTTTACCGTGATTACACGGTGCTGTTCAACTGCCCTTTCTTCTTTTTCCCTGACTTATTCCCCTGATTTGCATAATTAGTATGTGTTGTTGGCTAATTGTGTGTCCTAGCCACTCTGTGTTTAGATATGTAGCTCTACAGTTCAGCACCTGGTTTTACTCTGTTGTGTGTGTTTCTGTTGTTTTTCTGTACTGGTGTTTCCTTCCTAAACAGGATTCTTCTGGGCAGGAAATCTCATATATACGTGTGTGTGTGTGTGTGTGTGTGTGTGTGTGTGTGTGTGTCCTGAAGAATAGAGGAGAAGAAGGAAAGGTAAGATAGAAAAAAGGGTCTCAAGCTTGGAAATTTGAAGTTATCTACAAATAAACTTAGACACGCACACAATTACAAGGATGACAGTATCTATATCTATATCTTTATCTATATCCAAATATATGCTGTGATATATATGTAAACATATGCACATACATACACACACACATATATATCTCCTCACCCGAGGATATGTTTGTTGATCTTAGAAAGGGAGAGAAAGAGACAGAGAAATATCAGTGTGAGAGGAACATCCATTGGCTGCCTCCTGTAACTGCCTCACTGGGGGATGGAATCTAGGTCTGTGCCCCGACTGGGAATTGAACCTGCAACCTTTTGACGTATGGGACAGTGCTCCAAAGAACTGAAATACCCAGCCAGGGCACACATTAATATTTTTATAAATCTTGTATATATTTTGTGAAGAGCACAATCATACTGCTGCACTATTTTGGTTAAAAGCATTACTTTATTAAGTGTCAGCATTGAGAAAAAGCCTTAATTGTGTTGCCCTGTTTTCACCCGTCTTCCCCTTTTAACGTACCAGCCCCTGCCCTGCGCTCCTTCCAGCGGCTCCAGAGTTGCCTGGGCTACCAGCTGCCTGATGGGCACACCTCAGTCTCACTAACGGTAGGTGCTGAACAACTTACAGTTATTAACTTGGCTTTATGTGGGTACCTACCTATCACACCTTGTCACTTCAGAGTCTCAGAGGTACATATAACTAATATTTTCATGTACATGTGTAGTAGCAAGTAGGTAAACCCAGGTGTTTAAAAGTGAGTGGTCAGTCGACAAGGCGAAATGCTAATGGTTAAAGCTATTTGACATTTTAATTTGACAACTGTTTTATAAATAAACCTGAAAGAAAGAAGCTGCCATGGTTCAAGAAGTCAGTGGGAGACAAATCTTATGTCTTAACATATTTTAATGAAAGGCTGCTTACCAGCTGCCTAATAAGACAGGCTTTTGCATTCCCCCAAGAAGTGTACTCTGCATGTACATAAAAAATGTCTAAGTTACATTTCTGATTCACAAATCTTATGTATATGAGAGCAGAAAATGTCTCAAGACAAGAAGAGACTCATGAGAGAATTGGAGGCCCTGTTCTAACACTTGGCAGTTTTAAAGCAAGTGAGCTCCTTTGAATCTCTCTTAGCTGTTAATTATTAACATTAGCTATTGGTCTATATCCACTTTCTTCACTTTGCCTGTTGAACTATTACTATTAATAATTGATCAGAATATTAGCTCTCCTCAAAATAGCAGTAGGAAACTGAGGATGGAATGAATCCCTGGCATCTCTGAGTATTAATAACAACTTACACATGATTAATAAAGAAGTGTCATCCTCTTTAATTTTTGTGATACTTATTATAGGAAAACAGCATTTCACTTTTACTTCTCTCTGCACCATTGACCCATATTCTCACTTATGGACCCTGAAAATTGTTAGTGTCAAATCACTTAGAGGGGGTAAAAAAACAATTGTTATGTTCATAGAGTAAAAAAAACAGAGTTCAACGATTTAATTGTTCCTTCACTTTCAAATTAAAGGCATCTCATAAAAATTCCACCTTTTGAGTTGCTATTGAAAGTGTTGCAAGCCTTTCCATTTTCTGCATTCTAGTCTTGTATCACACACAAAATATTTGGGGGAAGTTTGGGTGGCTAGGCACGTCTCAGTTGTAAGCCATGGGTAAATTAAGCCTGTGTCCTTGGCTTTACAGGATGAACATATGCTCCTTTATGAATATTTAAGCAGACTCTGAAAAAAATCACAGTTTATCCAAATGTGTTTGTGTCAAAAGCACATTTCATCCAGAAGTGAATACAAAACTGTAACTCCCTAGGCAAATGGGTAGGGAACTTTCACTTCCATTCAATATAAAAATTAAATTCCATAAGCTATAGTGGCCTGCCAAAATGGAAACTTTGTATCTTTTTCAAATAACAAAATAGATTTCTATATTTTAGTTTGTGTTACAGAGTAAAAAGCTTTTGGAATAAGAGAAAAACTAAACACCTATATTAGGAGTTGCTTTAGTAAAAAAAAAAAACATAGGTTTGACAAGAGACTCTAGATCAATGATTCCCTGGTTAGAGGATTTGATAGACTACAGTAGGTTTTCATCACATGCTAGTCTAGAATGTCCTAAATTTAAATTTGTCACTTGGATGTGAGTCTTTGGTCTTAGAATTTAGAACTGGGTTCCTGTGTTAACTGTTCATCTAAACTTCTTAAACTGTTTCATAGCTGTTTCTACTTTCAGGGGCGGGGAACCACATGTTGGTGTGGAGAATTTTCTGATTTAATTTTATCCTTAAAAAAAAAAAAATATCTGCCAGGATATTTTAAAAGGCACTTGCAATACCCAAAGGGTACAGTAGATGGCACTGGGCAGACTTGTTTTTGTAAAATGCACATTCTGGGAGGAGAGTGGAATAAAAATGGATCATCTTTTCCTACTAGTGTTGCTTGTCCCAACCTCACTAGTAGGCTAGAACATAAATTTCTATCCATTTTCCCCCAAATTAAGTGAAATATAATAAAATAGAAAATGTCAGAAAACATGCTCCTAGTAAGAGTTAAATTGTGCTATATGAAATGTTTGTTTTGTGTTTATGCTTCCATTCTCAATTGTGCAGTGAACCCATGTAAAATATACTTTTTTTTTCTTAGATCTCCCTCACAAGAGGTGGCTTTCTCCCTCAGAAAGCCACTGTTGTATTTCATTCTCAGGGCAACAGACATATCACAGTGGCCTCAGGTGAAATGGTGCTATTACTGAGAGGACAGACATCCAGGCTCTAAGAACAGCCCCTTGCTCTGTTCTGCCTTTTTTGTATTCACAGCCCAGTGATCCCAGATACTCCAAGCTGGTGGGATTTATTGGT